CAACTTCTCGTCTGCAGTGAAAATCCCCGAGGAAGGTCGGGACGGGAGGAGGCGGGAAGGGATCGGATCGAGGAGGTTTTTGGGGGCTTTCGGGGGTCACGCGGCCCTCGCACGTGGGCGGGAAGGACTCCGTTTCCTGTCTCGTCCTTTTTGTGCTCGTTTCGAGATTGCTTTTTTTTTCTTCATTTTTCCTTTTCAGAGGAAATAAATGATGGTCGTCTCGGTTCGAGAGGTGACGGCTCCATTCGCGGGCTGGCAGACGCATGAGCTTCATGCTTCGCCTCGTGCCCGACTTTGCGCCCATTTAAACCATGGAGCAACTTTCAATAACATTGCTCATTTTTAAAAAGAAAGTATACATTGTGTCAGAGGTGGAACGTTGGGTATTCGCTGAGGGGGGAAAACGGCTTATTTTAGGATCAGGAAATTCTAGATGACCTGCTCCATCTGCTCGGCAGCATTTTTCAAATCCATGCTGAATCCGGATGACCGATCTAAGCCGATATCGCTCATACCGACCATCATCGCTTTACCAACTTCGATAAATTATCGTTGTCGTGACAGCGATTTCTGAGCAACCCTGTGTCTGCAGTCTGAAATCCTTCGAATCGATCCGTGCGCAAATAAGTACGAGTACCGAGCAAGGTACCGAGTAAAAATAAGGACCGGATCTCACGCTCTTTCTCCTTTTCTCTTCCCTGCTTGCCACGTTTATATTATTTATTCTCGGCGAGGGATTGGTCTGGCTTCGTCTCGATGCCAGGCCGCACTCTTTTGCATTTGAGACAATCCAAAAAATGCGGTATAAGGTTCTGCTCCATCTCTGCATCATCTGGATCAGTTTTCTGCCTCTTTTCAGTACCGTCTAAGTACAGTACAGTATCAAGAGAGTTTCCGGGCCGATCAAGAATCCTGATTTCGGTATCGTGGAACGATTGTCGTCTCCAGACGTGACGCATGGCACAGTGCGTGACCACGTTAGTAACTAAAAAAATCACGTTTTGAGGTTGCCTCGATGGCGTGCTCCTGAGATGTGACGAAGGCGTCTGACTTCGTCGATGGCCTCCGAAGTGTGCATGGTCTGGAGATGGAACTTCTTTTAAACAGCTGAGATCATCGCCAGCAGATGTTCACATCTTCGACGAACGTGTACTTACGTTTCTGCACGAACTAGGATTGACAAGACCCATTCCCATGCCTGTGACTCTGGCCCGAAAAATCCCATGAAAAATCCTAGTAAAACAAAGCACATTTTTTTTTTTTACCGTTCGTTCATGCGAAGGCTGTAAACTATACGCCAAAGATGTGATTCGACGAAGAGTGATCACCCGCTATGAACTCGTTGCACGAGGACGAGTCATGCCTCGACGGAATCCGCTGGCTGCGACACCGGTCGTGTCCGCACCACCTTGCTGCTGGCCGTACGAACAGACTCTGGCGGCACGGACTGCCTGCGCCTCGGCCCGCATACCTCCAGAGACATCTATCGTCCTGACTCCAAGCTGCATGGTTGTTGGCTCGACCGTGCGATTCTTCTCGTTAGTCTGTCCGCGCAGGCACGAGGAAGCAGTGCGTCGCGCGCTGTTGGACCTTCGATTCTCAGAGCGGGGAGGAAGGTTGAGGCGGAACGACATCGTAGTTATGCACGGTCGATTGCGCACGGTGGCAGCCAATGGAGGGAGTCCATGCCGTGTCGTTCCTTCGGAGTCCTGACGTTGCCGCGTGGCACGGCCGAGCGAAAATTTGGGGCGGAGAAGCAGGCTTTCGCCACACTTTACAATGACGAGGTCTACCACCGGCATCAGGGAGTCTCTCAAGTGTCCACCGTTCGATCCCGGTCGATCTGTTCTAGGAACATATCGCAACCGGACCAAAGCAAAGTGTCCCTATCGTTCGCAATTCGTCATTTCGGTCGCCTGATCTAAATTAATGACTCCGAGGTAAGAGACTGTAACGTCACGTAAATGGTTCCCGAAGGGTGAAGACTCCGATCGGTGATGCGAATCGGAATGCTAAGAGAATCAAGAGCAGCGAAGAAAGGTGCCATGAAGTTATCGAGTTCTACCAGGTCTACCAGTTGAGCAAGTTGATGGGTTTCTACAGGCACCGCATGGAGTAGAGACTCGAACTAGAGGCTCCACTCCTCTCGAGTCCCATTCATCGACAGGGTCGGAATATACTGTAGATGTCGCTGTCGATCCTCCACCTAGCGTGCGCACATCAAGGACTCCTCCACTGCCGAGCAGCCGACTCGACGAGACACACATATTACGTTGAGGGATGCCTTCGGGTCGTTCCCCCGAATGAGCAGATTCCCGATTCCGCTGCCACGAAGCCCGCCACATGGAAGTGTGTTGATAACAAGCCACCAGATGTCTCTGTGATATTTCGACCCTCCCCTACCCCTCGGAGCGTCGCCTATAGTTGTACTCCAGGGGTGTCAAACTCGATTAGGTTGGGGGCCGGACGGGAGCCTTCAGGGGTGATTAGAAGCTACAATAAAAAAAAAATGTAACACATAATCTCTATTGAAAACCGGCTGAAATGTGAAGTACTTTTTCGTAATCAACTGTTGAAGAGGACTTCGCGGGCAGGACAAAATGGACTGTCGGGCCCGATCCGGCCCGCAGGCCACCAGTTTGACACTCCTGCTCAACTCTATGGTCACCGGGTGATATCACGACCTCGATCAAGTCGTCGAAATTCCCCACGTCGTGATCGATACCTTCTGACACCGAATGGTGCTTGGATTTGGGTCTGACATCACACTTCTATTATGACAGTTTTAAATGAGGAGGAGGAGGAGGGGGGAAGGTGGGGATGGGGAATGGTAGGGAGGGGGGGAGATGAGGAGGGAGAGGGAGCACTCGTTATGAAACGTGGAGTATGCAGAGTGTAGCAGCTGTATTCGTAATTTGCGTTGCATAAACGTGATGCATACGGGGGAATGTAACAAGGGAAGTGTGATTTTCATTGTACGGCGAGGGAAAGGGGAAGACAGGCATTCCAGCCCAAGGGACCAAATTTTCGGAACTTCATGTATGCCTCTGACAAGGAAAAAGAAATTGATATAAGTTTCGGTGGTCTCCCCCAGTCTTGATGAATTTCAAGTTTTTCGAAGTTGACTTTTTCGACGAAAGTCCGAAGGAGAGAGAAAATTATATTTTTTATTCAGTGTCGATGAGCCCACAACATCACATAACTCACAGAGCTAACGAACACTTCGAAGACGGATAAGTACTTTTAAAAAAACACCAACACCGACGGGAATTTTCCATTTCCCTCAGACGTCCGATCCCCGAAAGACCCTGAGCCCGATGTGCTGCTGTCGCTTGAGAACGTCGTCGAAGACCTGATAAACGCTGGAGTCGCGGGAGAACGTCGCCTCCCCGTTCAAGCTGGTGAGCATGGACGCCCGCGAGGGATTCGCCTTCAGCCCCGCCGTGCCCGCCGCGAATGGATCCTGAGGGGAAAAGCCGTCAAGATCTTTCGAGTGGACGCGAGGGGAATTCCGTCTCTAAAACGGCCGTAAAGTTGCGTAAAGTTATGGCGAGGGCCGTAAGGGCTGAAATGGAGTTCGTGACAATCCGATTACTCTCCCGGAGGCAAATCTTGACATTATGGAAATAGATACCCTGACGTGTTAGATATCGTTGGAAAGCTTTTGGTCTGGAGGTGTGCACCACGCAAGCAGATTCCAAACATCTTCAACCCTGGCAGAGTTAGCAGCTAACAAAACGTTCACCGCTATGCTGCCCCCGGTTCCTCAAATAGCAAATACGACTGCTGTTTTACCCATGAGAAATTTCAAACATTTCTTTACTCCCCGGGAATGTCCATTTTAACAAAAATACGACTATTTACAGCATCTGGACGTCGAAAGCGACGAGGGAACAGTATCGATGCTCGACTCAGTCCAGTACATTATTCCTGTCTCTTACACTTTCTTCTACCAAGTACCTCGCTGCGATATCGATTCGGCCAGCCGCTGAAGATGCCCGAAGACGCACGACTCACGTAATCATCGCCGATGTCGAGTCCCAGCCTGAAAACGAGGGCGCCGGGGAGTTTCTCCCTCAAGTAACGAAAGATCGGAGAGACGAGCTTGGGATTGAGGGTCCTCGTGTTCTGCATCCCCGTCGCCCAGCTGACCACGAGCCCGATCGCGATCACGCTCCAGCAGCCGACCATCGAGTACCACAGGTACGAGAGGCGGTAGAGCCACATGGGCAGTTGGTCGGGGGAGAGCGTGGAGGGCGCGTCGGTGGCGTTCGGGCTGCAGGCCGAGACGGACATGGGCTTCTCGGAGAAGCTGAGGCGTTCCTGGGTCGAGGCCAGGTTCGATCCCACGCCGATCCAGAAACTGAAGATGAATCCTGCGATGCCTCCGACCAGGGAGCCCTAGGATTGCAAAAATTGAAACAAAAAAAGGGTTCCACGTGAAATCCAGCGTCAGAGCTTCGTGATGTGCGTGGAAATATGCTGCTTTTGCTGTCTGAAATATGCGAACACGTGAAATACCCTCTACTTATACATTTCCATGAAATGCTAGTAATTGATCGCATTAGCGCTGACATAATACCGAAGGGAGCACGCAATAATGCGATGTTGTCTTTCTCACCGTCGTTGCTGGAGCAATTCCAACAGGAGCGAAAAAAGTACATTTATACTTTTAAAAAAAATTCGGAGGAAGAGGAAAACTTTACGAAAAAACTTGCACGAATGTCGACAGTATGAGAGATTTTCGTCTAGGCCACTTGTATCCGAAATAAGATTTTACAGAATGATTGAGTGCTTGCACCTCTGGCGTGATGCACCTTTTCAAGAGAAAAAAAGTCCAGGAAATACTTGGAAGTTCCTCCCTCTACCTCTCACGCATCATCCATGGTAAGAAATACGCTTTCAGTAGACTCGGCAAGATCAATGCCTGACGCTTCGAAAACGGCTGCCCTACCTCTCTACCTTGCACTAAATCTGCTCTTCGGTAAAAGCTCACAGTCTTTCCTGTTTTCTTCCATTTTCCATCTCAACTTTCCACTGACCACCGTTCTCAAAGCCAATCCACTCTTACCTTTCCGTCCTAACGAAAAACGAAACAAGAACGAGGCTCGCCTTGTTGTTGGCCCAGGGGAAGAACATGCCGAGGGTGAAAATGCCCAGGAGAGGCCCCCCGATGATCCCGAAGATGCTCAGGGCTGCCTGCAGAGAAACACCCCATCGCGTCAACTCTACGCCTTAATACTTAACAGTACTTAGTACCTCACAGTACTCGGCACAAGACGTACGGGAAGGACGCCCGTGCCACACTTTTCGACGAGGAAGACGAGGCAGAAGGAAATGATGCCATAGGCGAGGGCAAGGATCTTACACACGGTCGCCGCCTGTTGATCCGAGATCCCCTTGAAGCAAAACGGACGGAGGAAATCCTCCAACGTGATGGCCGCCAGGGAATTCAGACCCGATGACACCGTGCTATCACCCGTGAAACGAAATGCGACTAGCTTTGAATCTCAAAGTTTTTTCCGCGTTCAATAAACGATGACTTTGAGTCCATGAATTGAGTTCATCTGCCCCCCCCCCCCCCCAAAAAAAAAAAGAGAAAAACATGAACTCTTGACCTCTA